AGAAGGAAAGTACGGTATCCTGTAGAAGGAAGGTAAATCATCTCTGTGGAAGAATATTAGACTGTCTGTTAAAAGGAAAGTATGGTATCCTGTAGAAGGAAGGTAAATCATCTCTGTGGAAGAATATTAGACTATCTGTATAGAAGGAAAGTACGGTATCCTGTAGAAGGAAGGTAAATCATCTCTGTGGAAGAATATTATACTATCTGTATAGAAGGAAAGTACGGTATCCTGTAGAAGGAAGGTAAATCATCTCTGTGGAAGAATATTAGACTGATGATTTACCTTCCTTCTACAGGATACCATACTTTCCTTCTATACAGATTCTGTGGAATAATATCATACTATCTGTATAGAAGGAAAGTACGGTATCCTGTAGAAGGAAGGTAAATCATCTCTGTGGAAGAAGATTAGAATATCTGTATAGAAGGAAAGTACGGTATCCTGTAGAAGGAAGGTAAATCATCTCTGTGGAATATTAGACTATCTGTATAAAAGGGAAGTACGGTATCCTGTAGAAGGAAGGTAAATCACCTCTGTGGAAGAATATAAGACTAGCTGTGTAGAAGGAAAGTAGACTATCCCTGTAAAAGGAAGGTAGACTATCCCTGTAGAAGGAAGGTAGACTATCCCTGTAAAAGGAAGGTAGACTATCCCTGTAGAAGGAAGGTAGACTATCCCTGTAGAAGGAAGGTAAACTATCCTTGTAGAAGGAAGATAGACTATCCCTGTAAAAGGAAGATAGACTATCCCTGTAAAAGGAAGGTAGACTATCCCTGTAAGAGGAAGGTAGACTATCCCTGTAGAAGGAAGGTAGACTATCCCTGTAGGAGGAAGTTAGACTATTCCTGTAAAAGGAAGGTAGACTATCCCTGTAGGAAGAAGTTAGACTATTCCTGTAAAAGGAAGGTAGACTATTCCTGTAAAAGGAAGGTAGACTATCCCTGTAGGAGGAAGTTAGACTATTCCTGTAAAAGGAAGGTAGACTATCCCTGTAGGAGGAAGTTAGACTATCCCTGTAAGAGGAAGTTAGACTATTCCTGTAAAAGGAAGGTAGACTATCCCTGTAGAAGGAAGTTAGACTATCCCTGTAAAAGGAAGTTAGACTATTCCTGTATAATAAGGTTTACTATGCCTGTAGAAGGAAGGTAGACTATCCCTGTAAGAGGAAGTTAGACTATTCCTGTATAATAAGATTTACTATTCCTGTAAAAGGAAGGTAGACTATCCCTGTAGGAGGAAGTTAGACTATTCCTGTAAAAGGAAGGTAGACTATTCCTGTATAATAAGGTTTACTATGCCTGTAGAAGGAAGGTAGACTGCCCCTGTGCAAGGAAGTTCTATCTTCTGAAAGTACTTGATTTGTTTATTCAAGAATTACCTTTAGGATCCTACATATTTTCGATACATCATGAATATCCAGTATACAAAATAAATTTCGGATTTAGATGGAAGATATCATAGTGTTTTTACTCCTTTCTTGGTATTTTTTATGTAAGATAATATATAACTTATGTTTAATGTTTATTTTTTAGTTGTTTATACTGAACATCATATGAATAATAACGATATGAAAACACAATTAATTATATGATTATCCGAAAAGTAAAATAGCTAAAAAAAACTTACTTGTGTAGACTTTATATTTTCCAAGGCATTTCGTTTGTTTTAGTTATTGCCATCTCCTTTTGTGTACTCTCTGACAGCAGTCCTTACAACAAAATTGTACATTGTTTAGCACTTGTACTATCTTCATGCATCTTAGAGAGAGAGATTACAGAATGATAGTTCTTTTAAAATATAAATCTAAACTGACTGAGTCAAGTTAAAAATGTTTTTGTAGGTTCGTGTGCTCAGCAACAACTCTCGGCTTCAATCAAATATCACTACAAATGCTACTTCAACTTCTATTCGAATCCACAACCTAACTGCTGGGGCTAGCTATACAATAAAAGCTTTAGCCTATACTTCTGTAGGACCTGGTCCCTACACCACCCCTTTGACTGTAATAATGGGTAAGTCTATAGGTATGTCTATCTATGGTTATACATTTACAAATAACCTTTAAAAATACTTTCAAATATCTTTTGAAATGTTTGGGATTTCTCATATTTTGCAGAAATTTTCTTTTGTGTTATTCATCCCATTTGTTTTCTGTAGTTACATGGCTGATATTAACTCGCTTGAAAAAATTATCTCCTTTCAGATCCGAGTTATATGGAAAACCCTAGTGCAGCAGGACCGCCATCTACATCACTAAGTAATTCTTTTCAAGATTTGCTACGGCAGCCTTGGTTCATAGCTCTGATTGGAGGTTTATCATGTTTGCTGCTGTCAGTATTTTTTGTTATCCTGTTCTTACGAAGACGTATGGCTTGGAAAAAAGCCTTGGTGGCTCATCTAACAGGTACAGTCTTTAAGAACAGTATAAATAATGAATTTTTATAGTAAAGTAACTGTGAAACTATACTTTATTAAATTCATCAGACAGAAAAGCTCATAAATCAATACAAATATTATGGCAAACAATATAATTTTTGATTTAGATAAAGCAACATGTATTTCTTTTCTAGATAAATAAATAAATATATATTTACAAATACAGTCAAGTCTATTCAACTTAACAATATAAACCCGAGTTTGTTTATACTAGTATGACTATATATGTTAAATTTCTTGAACATGAGGGCTTTGAAATATTGAAAATGTTTAACTAAATGGTATATATAATCATGTATTAGTATTGTTATTTTATTGAAGTTATATTGGTAACATATATTAAATATGTTACTGAAAATGGATTATATATATATATACAAAGTATGTTTTATTTTGGGGATATTTTATCTTTGCAAAACAAATCATGTAGTTATGTGTAATTTCTTCCAGTCCCTGTTCACAAACCAGAAGATGTAAGGTAAGTGATTTACATATTTATGATAATATATAAGTTTTATTGCAAGGAATTGCTCCAAAATTCCTCTGGTAGTGCCTTCTCTGTCTTCTTATACGATCAGATTAATAGTGTTCTGATTGGTTCAAAAACTACAAAAATCACTTCAATGAGGATACCATAAATGATGACTAGTAAGAATTATTTATACAGCTTTGTTTTCATTATTATTATTAATTTTAAAACTTTATTATATAATGTTCATAATCAGATAACCCTGTTATAACTGATTTCAAAACAGTTTACACACCCTTCAAAGTCATGTAACACAATTATAACTGACTTAATTAGTATAAGACTAGCTTCAAAATATAACAATATTATTAGTTGCATAGTTAAAACTTTTCATTATCACATTATAAAGCTTTGACTGGCTCAAACTAGTCTTTTTCATTGAGCTTTTTTTTTTTTGGTGTTTTGAGGATTTGCTTTTTGCTTGTATGTTATCAGTTGTAAGCATTTAAATATGTATCTTTGAGCGAAAAAAAGAGTTAAAAGATCTGTTATCTCCATATGTTTCTGCTCACTAATCTCTGGGTATCATTTGTGTGATAAAATATTTTTTGTTACCAAAATTTTTCGTTCCTAATTATCACATCTCGATGCTTTTTTTTTGTCAAAACTATTTATACGTGGCTGTTGTGTGGACTTAACTTTTTATATTTGAAAACACTGGTAAAAACTGCATGTTAGACACACCATTGTGAAGTTCCTGCTGATCTAGCCCTTTTGTAACCATACATTCTGTATTCTCAGGAACCAGGAAAATGTGATGTAACATCAAAGATTTTATACTCGATTCATTTATTGTATATCTTATTAAAGGATTTACAAAGTGTATTGGATTCAGTGTAAAAAAAAAACCTTTATCTTAATACACCACATGGTCCGGGGGGTATAGAGATAATGAGCACACCTAGTAAGCCCCTATGGTAAGCAAAAGGTTAGTCCTGCAGATTAAAAAAAGTCGTATGTGAGATGCATCTAATATATTATTGAAATGTCATAAAACAAACCCTGGCACATTCCTTTCCTATGTCTGCTTTTCTTTTAACTAACTGCTTGACTAACCCTGCACTCCCTGGGCTTTCCTGTCAAACCTTAGGACTGATGTCAGTGCACGTGAGACCCTGTGGATTAACCGTGCTTGGCGACCCTCACCTCACACCAAAGAACAAAGCACAAGTGAAACCAAATTACTGAATAAAATGGACTGCCCTTCCAGTGATTTCAATTATTCCAGGTAACACATTGTACCAAACTCTTATGTTTACCCTGCTTGGTGGTTTTGTTTATGTATTGTAGTGTTATAACAAGGTATTACAAAAACCTTCACGGACATTTCAACAAAAGGATAATGGTATTGTGGGAGAGATTTCAACACAAGAACTGTGGTACTATGTCTTCACAAAGATCATGGTACTATTGGGATATTTTGCATTCTGTTGAAATGTACCCACAGTACTACTGTTCTTTTGTTGAAATGTCTTCACAGAACCAGGGGCATTCTGTTGAAATGTACCCACAGTACTATTGTTCTTATGTTGAAATGTCTTCACAGCACTAGGGGCATTCTGTTGTAATGTCCCCACAGTACCATTAGTCTTATGTTGAAATGTCCCCACAGTACTATTGTTCTTTTGTTGAAATGTCCCCACAGTACTACTGTTCTTTTGTTGAAATGTCACTACAGTACTATTGTTCTTTTGTTGTAATGTCTTCACAGCACCAGGGGCATTCTGTTGAAATGTCTCCAGAGTACTACAATTCTTGTGTTTGTACCCACAGTACTATTGTTCTTATGTTGAAATGTACCCACAGTACTATTGTTCTTTTCAACATAAGAACAATAGTACTGTGGGTACAGTTCAATAAAAGAACAATAGTACTGTGGATACATTTCAACATAAGAACAATAGTACTGTGGGTACATTTCAACATAAGAACAACAGTACTGTGGATACATTTCAACATAAGAACAATAGTACTGTGGGTACATTTCAACATAAGAACAACAGTACTGTGGATACAGTTCAATAAAAGAACAATAGTACTGTGGGTACAGTTCAATAAAAGAACAATAGTACTGTGGGTACAGTTCAATAAAAGAACAATA